AAGATGTCTTTCTTTATATATGGGTAAATAAAGATAAAAACACAGCATATTATATGATATGGCATGGTATATTTTGTTCGTTTACTAAGCAACAGACACCGACTTTTATAAATATAGACTTTAAACATTTAATAACGAAAAACGAAGAATTATCTTGAAATTGCATTAAAAATTATTGAGGTAAGATCTTATTTTAATAACGCGGCAAAGCTAACCAAATTGCAATTAAAATTATTGAATTATTTTTTTTAATGATTTCACCTAAGCAGGGCGGGAATGCTACTAGCACGTAGGTGGATACAGGGAGTGAAAGTGGAAGAAAAGACTGAGTATAAGGAAGACTGAGGAAAGGACAAAAGATGAACGGGATTAAAGAGAATAGATGACGATTGACTTTGCATTTAAATTTTTTGAGAGTTGTAGTTATCAGGAAAGCAAGTAAGTTCCACAGGTGGGAAGTGCGAGAAAAGAAACAGTTGGAGTAGAAGTGGCGGTTGCATTTAGCTATTTCAACAGTAGAAGGGTGAGACCTAGATGCCAATCTAGTAGCACGCTTAAATTCATGCAGTCGGGGCACCAGGGAAAAAAAAACTCGCCAGAACAGTTGTCATGAAAATATTTGTAGAAAAAGACAAAGGGAAGCCACGTCATGTTAGTGAGAAAGTGACTGAAGATGTCAAATCAGGATCAATTATATTAGACCCTTTTTTGGATTTTGTCGAGAAACTCAAGATAAAGAGCAGGAACACCAGATCAGATATGGCAACAATAATAAATGCCCGGGTGACTGGAAAATATAATATAGAAAATAATGTTTCTCGTCAGAGTTCATCTTGGAAATTTTTCATGATATTCTCAGCATCCTTCTGTAGAACCACATTTAAGTTGCTTCAAGTCTTTATAAGAGTTGTTCTCTTACAAAAGAAGAGTTGAACGAAAAAATCTACATTTATAACATTTCCTGGGAAATAAATTAAAGAAAAAACTGACCGTTGCCATTAAAGTCAGACTCGAAAAAGATATCCTCAAAGGAAAAAAAGGGGGGGGGGAAATTTGATATGGTGGGGTGAAGTATAGACGGAGAACGCCGATGGTGAGCGATGGCGAGCTGCAAACATCAACTTTTGGGGCTTGAATGGATTTCAACGTGGTATGAAAAAGAAAACATTTCTGTAAACACTGAACATTTATGCTGTTTGCTATATTTTATTTTATTTTATATTATTTCTACTTTGCCCTACCGAAATGGATAGTAAACCTGAAGAAAGACGGAGAATATATTGTTTGTTTGTTTTGTTTGTTTAACGACATATCAACATCCTTATGGGTCATTTAATACCGAAATTTAATTTTCTTTGGAACATTTGTAATTTCTTTGACAAAAATGCATTGCCGGAAATTCTTCTTTTACAAAAACTGTATGGCACCTTCACTATAAAAATGTATTTCTACACTTTCATAGTGCTTTGAACCCAGTTTGGGGGTTTACTATTTTCCCATACATGGGACCCTAACCGGTGCTACCACCCCGAGTCACGCTTGACATGGGAACAACAGCAATTAAGATGTGGTTCCAAACCCCTCAAAACCTCCCGATCAGAGGCCTTGTTGACGGATGTAACTTATCGTCACACCCAGAATGGATCAATCTAAACGTTGTAAAAACAACTAAAATAACAAAATGGATGAATTATCCGAAATATTATTTGACTTTTTGTGTTCTAGGTTTATATGATGTTCTAGTGTTTTACATAGTGTTCTGATGTTTTATATAATGTTCTGGTGTTTTATATAAATAATGTTCTCGTGTTCTATTGTTTTATAGTGTCCTGTAGTTTTATATATAGTTATAGAGTATTCTATTGTTTTATTCAGTGTCCTTGTGTTGATAACTTTTAGACTTTTGGTGCAGGATTTAATTTATTTTTACCAATTTAAAAACATAAAATAAGAACTAAGAAAACAGAAAGAAAACAATAAAGAAAAACAAAAAACTTCCAGGACTTCGCTCGTTACCTGAAGAAGCTGTGTGTACTTAAGTTTGATTGTTTATTTCTTTTGTTTTACGGCTTATCAACCCCTCATGATAGAGATACACCGAAGGAAACAACAGAAATATTTATAGCTACAGTACTTGAGAGCTTTCTATATTTGGTGTAAACTATAATTTATCTTTAAAAATTTATTTAGCAATTGAAAAGTATAAAAACAGTAGGAAACGATGTTCTGAAAAAGTCTTTCAGAATATGAGTCATAGTTAATATACAGAAAAATCGCGGTTCTTAAAAATCACGAAGAAAATAGATTTACTGTTTCTTTACACACGCTAATATATTAGGTTTTTAATAAATTGTGTCTTGCGTCGGAAATATAAAGTAATGCTCCAAACATATGGCCTTGTGCCAGACTAAACTGAATAAATATCAATATAATCTGCAATGTATAATTATATTTCAAAGTAGATGATATAAGCTTGTGTATAAATGCGAACATTTGCTTGACTTATTATGGCATTTGTTAGTTATACATGTGAGGTTTACTAATCAGTCAGTCAGTCATGTGCCATGCATGATACACGCTTAGGCGATCATGTATCTTTCGATACATGACTGACGAGGCAGATTTTTTCCCGCAGTAGGTTGCCATTTCTTTCTGCGATAGACCAGTAGCCATAACGAACCTAAGTGGAATTGGAACACGGCTCTCCGATTTCCAATTTCGAATCGTTATCCATAACACCACCCGCACATCTAAGTTTACAGATTCACAAGTTGTCACCCATCTAATGTACTGATCAGGCTCGACGTTGCTTAATTTTCAACGTCAGTCAGTTATGTACAATGCTTGATACACTTGACTTTCGATACATGACTGACGAGGTAGATTTTTTCCCGCAGTAGGTTTCCATTTCTTTCTGTGGTAGACCAGTTGCCATCCAAGGCTATAGAACCCGGTCCTGTCCTGCTATTTACCCATATCTAGGGGAGAAGAATAGGAGTCATACCTTTCCCAAGGGTATTAGCACGTAAGTGAATGTAATGGATTCGACTGGAATTCGAACTTGGCTCTTCGATTTCCCAAACCGAGCCACTATCCATTATCCCACCGTGCCTATTTATAACAAAATAACAGTAGAAATCCATCGAACATCAGAAATAAAGGGATCGTCGGTGGTCAGGAATTAATGGAACCATTATTGAAAAAGTTTAACTTTTATATGTATATGAAGATTTTTTTTACTATAGGACATTGCAAATAACTTTAGTAGAGAAATGCATTGGGACTTATTTTGAGTAAGCATTCGTATAAATTTGATTGAGAAATTTATAAAGTGTCAGAAAGAAAGGAATAGTCAATGGTCAGGAATTAATGTAAGCTTAATACTGATAGAATAAACTTATTGTATTTATAATTAAATCTGACATTTTCAACTTTTTTCTTTAGAACCCATGCCAACAGACGCGATTGCAAAGATGGTTATATTCTTTTGGATAAGTTATTGCCTTGAGACAAACTAGCAATTTAATAAATTGTGATCGTAATTCCTTACCGAAATTTTCACTGCATGACATTTTCGACATTCATGCCATTAATAGACAAGTTTAGTTGAATAAACAACATGATATTGATATATATATATATATATATATATATATATATATATATATATATATATATATATATATATATATATATATATGTGTGTGTGTGTGTGTGAAGGGTTATTCTCTCTAGAAGACCCTCTATGAAGTCATAAACATTTCTATGTTACGTTTACTTTTTTATCTGATATTTTTGCCGCTCTTTGCGACATATTCAGATGACTTGAAGAACTGTACGGTGGCTGAAGCAGTTACGTTTTTCCGATTGACGGTTCGAGCCCAATTAAAATCAATTAAGAATGCTGATTTTCATAGCATTTTACTCCTCACCTCACTTAGAAGAGGAATGTTTCTTCCGTCAATGTGGCCATTGTTCGAAGCCATGTAAGTCTAGCACAAAACAATCTTGCCTGTTTTCATATTGTCATGTAACAGACCAATCTATATTTATTTACACTATTTACATTGGTCGAACTGTTGTCTTAATCTTTATTGTCATTTTCACGACGTTCCGGCCGTTTTATGCTCCGGCCTTCTTCAGGATCTGTCTATATTTCGGAGATGCAGTATTGTAAGTACTTACACTATTTACATTGTTCGAACTATTGTTCTAATCTTAATTGTCATATTCACGACGTTTCGGCCGTTGTATGGTCCGGCCTTCTTCAGGATCTGTCTTTATTTCTGAGATGAGGTATTGTATCTATTTACATTACTTACATTATTTACATTGCTCGGACTGTTGTCCTCATCTTTATTGTTATATTCACGACGTTTCGGCCGTTGTACGCTCCGGCCTTCATCAGGTGATATACGTTGGAATTTCGAAGCAAAGCCTTTATTTAATGCACGAGGGTAGATTGTTCAAGTTCCACGTGCCATGCCTCTTCCGGATATCTCAATTTCAGTTATTTCACTTGAAGTCTTAACTTACTAAAGTTAAGACTTCAAGTTTTTGTTCACCTCTGTGGCCAGGTATTTAACTCACAACTCTTTCGGTTAATTCACTAGATTAGTTCAACCAATGCTTTTGTCCACTGAGACATTTGTCCTCTGGTAATTGTGGAAACGTGGAACCGATTTATTAAGTAATCGATATTTTTAACTGTAGTCCGAGACACTCCGAAATTTAAACGAGATTTCGTCATATATGTATAATAAATGGGAAAATGTACCACTGGCCATATATCGAAAGAAATCAAGATTGATTGAACGATTCGTTCTTTTTACGGTTTATGCAGGTTATTTAAAGCCTTTTACGTTTTTGCAGGTTATTTAAAGCCAGAAATAGTTTTAGATTCTAAGAATTGTTTTTGGAGATAATAACCGTTCAGTGATACAAGTCTTACTAATTAACCGATAGCTGGGGGTGTAGAGGTGAATCCATACCTTTCCCAGGGGTATCTATCTATCTGTCTATCTATCTATCTATCTATCTATCTATCTATCTATCTATCTATATATATATATATATATATATATATATATCTCAGTCTTTTCGTAACTTTCTGTTTCAGACTTTTCATATCTATCTATCCATTTATCTATGTATCTATCTATTTCTTTTCAGATCTATCTATCTATCTATCTATCTATCTATCTATATATATATATATATATATATATATATATATATATATATATATATATACTTTTCGCTCTTTTTGTATCTATCTATCTATCTATCTATCTATCTCAGGCATTTCCTCTTTATCTATCCATCTATTTCTGTCTTTTCAGATCTATCTATCTATCTATCTATCTATCTATCTATATATATATATATATATATATATATATATATATATATATATATTATATATATATATATATATATATATATATATATATATATATAAATCAGTCTTTTTCGTATCTGTTTCAGTTTTTCATATCTATCTATCTATCTATCTATTTCACTCTTTTTGTATCTATCTGTCTATTTCAGTCTTTTCAGATCTCTCTCTCTCTTCTTCTCTCTCTCTCACTCTCTGTATATATATATTTATATATATATATATATATATATATATATATATATATACAAATTTCAGTCTTTTCATATCTATCTGTCTATCTGCCTGCCTGCCTGTCCGTCGGCTTGTCTGTCTCACGGTATTTCTTTTACAATGACAATTACACTAATTCCATTTTTCTGATACAATCATTTTCTTATTTATTGGTTTTGTCTTCTGTCCATTTCTACACCGGCCTTTGTTTATCGCAATTTCAGCTACTTCCATTTTTTTTTTTTTTTTTTTTTTTGGATGTTCTTTTGTCTTTACCATTTTGCATAATGTGCTGACTGCTATTAACTCTCCAGCCATGACAGAAAATTTCTACAATAAACGTCAGGTTTTCTTGTGACAGAAGAATACTTTTTATCTGGAGGAAATAACTACAATTACTTCAACTATCAGTATAGATATTTATTGAGCTTCGGTTGGCACAAGGGCAAGTAAAAAGGAATAACAGTAAAAAAAAATGTACGAGCTGCTTTTTAGAGAGATTTAATGGTAAATTAATAATGGTTGACAATGCTTCATCTAAAATATCTTTCTATACAAATAAATGCGAATGTCAGTGTGTCACACTTTTTCAACTTTACAAGTAGAAGCCGTAGCCCAACATATCATACCATTTTGGAATCAGGCCAACTCCGTGAGTAAATTAAAACCATTCCGGGACGGATCCGGGCCCGTAATCCTGAAATTTTGGATTCCCAAGTTTTTATTACTGGCACTGTTTTCGGCGATTTTAAGTGTGATTTTTTGAGACGAATTTTTTTGTACGATAACAAATTTTATAACTTGTGTTGTGGTGTCCTCCCTCTAAAGAGTTTATGTTGGACTCTTCCGCCTACTATAAGATTAGTAGGAGAGAAGGCCTTGGGGGAACAGCCGACCAGACTGTTCATTTCTGTCGAACTCTATGCCTCGGCAGAGAGGAACCCGGACAACGTTTTGCCGCAGGGCAAAGTTTCGTCCGGGGAGGTAAACAGTCCCTGAACCCGTCTAGACCGGTTCAAAGGGAATATTTTTGGCCGATCCTACGGGCTCGGAGAAACCCACGTTAAACTCGGCCTTGTGTCACATACATTCCTTGTAGGGGGATTGTTAAATATAACAGTCGCACAGATTGTTCAACTGTCAAACTCTCTGCCTCGGCAGAGAGGAACCCGGACGAGGCTTTGCCGAAGGATAAAGTTTCGTCCGGGGAGGTAGACAAGCCCTGAACCCGTTTATGCGGGTTTTAAGGGGATATTTTTAGCCGAGCCTACAGGCTCGGAGAAACCACGCTAAACTCGGCCTTGTGCCACATACATCCCTCGTGGGGGGATGGCTGTTAAATATAACAGTCGAATAGATTGAACGCTGGGTCAACTGACACACACTTACTAGTCATATCTTACTCCTCTGTTTTACTTACTGTTTAATATATAGATATATCTGCTACACTTGTTCTGTTATTTCTTTAGCCATTTACTTGACCACAACATCTTGAAAATAAATTTGGAAGTAATCGAAATTAACTGCAAAATCCAGCAAAAGTCAGCCATAAAATAAAAATAATTGTTTGTACGGAAAGTAAGGACCTACGTACATTGAATTTTCTTTAAATTAAAATGGCGACAGAAAAATTATCGTTGAAATTTATAAAAGGTAAGCTTAAATATTAAAGCAATACGTAAATGCAGCGATCAGTTATTCTGTAGTCTATCACATCTACTGCTTCATACCTATTGTGATGAAGGCTCAATCAAGAAGTAAAAATAGCTAAACGAATATCTTAAAATATCCGCAAAAAAAACTAAACACTCACTCACACACTAATTCGCGCACACACACACACACACATATATCTATCTATTTATCTATATATATATATATATATATATATTATTACTATAAACGTTATTTTTTTACTGTGTACACGCGTTTAAATGGCTGCCCCTGATTTTTTTTCTTCAAAAGTGAAATTAATGGACGGCCATCATCGAGAAATCTAATGTTTATAATGAGAAGAAATAATTCTCAATTAAAAAATTAATTTAACACACACAAACACACACACACACTGGCACACACACACATCTATATCGATCTATCTCTCTCTCTCTCTCTCTCTATATATATATATATATATATATATATATAAAGAATTAATGGCTTTTATTTTTAATCCGACATTTTTATTATTATAAACATTACTCTAATGTATACATGTTTTTGAAATAGACGTCCCATTTTATATTCTTTTAAACACGTATTGCGTCGATCTATATATATACGTTCCAACAGTGATTGAACATGTGTTCCTCTTTTTATGAGAAAACACCATTCGATGTGGTGTACTTTATCACTCAGCGACGAAAAGCGTTACAAGGAAAACAGCGCCTTACCAATTTGAGACGCTCTTCGAAGACGGGTGGCAAAGTATGCCGAATCAAATGGGGGTTTCTCCTAGAAAAGGGGAACACATGTATGTATATGTAGTAAGAATGATTGGTTGATTATTCAAAAGTTAAATTACACTCCTTGACTGTCATTTTCTTTATCAAATCTGTTACACAAAGTCGGGCGGACCTAATGGCACAAAATGGCGGCTTCTTAAAAGAAAAACGTTCTGGACAAATATTTACATTGTTCGGAATTTTTTCCTAGTCCTTGTTGCCATTTTGATGGCATTTCGGCAATTTGTACGCTCCGGTCTACGTTAGTTACTTGAAATTTGGAACTGAACCGTTTATTTCGTCCACCGAGGTAGATTGTTCTTGTTCCATGAGTCATGCTTCTTCCAGGTGACTCAGTTATCTCCCTTTAATTCAACTTTACAAGCAGTACCCTTCTGATCAAGTCACTGGATCCAACCAACGCTTTTATGTATCAGAAATATAGCCAGGCATTCTAGAAAAAAGTTTTATTACTTCTTGGAAAGATTGATTTCGGGAGCTCTGAGAATGTTCGTGAAGACACTGGAATCACTGTGCAAATTTACAGATGAATAGATTGACTATATATATATATATATATATATATATATATATATGCACCTAAATTATCCGAGTGGTTAGCAGTCTTGGTGTATCAATTATAGTAGGACAATTTAAAATGTGTATATTTCATTAAATGTGTGTCCTCTTGTTTGGCAAATCCAATCTATATTTTCGTCTAATATAAATTTATTTAGAAAAATTGTTACCAAGCATTTATTGATATCGTGATTTTTTCGTTGTACAAATACCGAAGTGATAGCAAAAAATGGATGAAGTCGTGGGTTGAAAAGATAAAATCAACCAAGATGAAAACTAAAAATGTGGGAAAAAAAATCAAATTCGTTTCGCTAGGATCATTCGCCATAATCTTGCCCGCTTGTTCAAAATTAGAAGCCATTTATTTTTATTTTGCATCAAGGATTTTGCGAAACCACCTTTCTTCAGTGAAAAGAGTTTTCCTCTTTTGAAAATTAAAATCGTCTTCACTAATTCAATATGTCTGCTCTCCCCTTGGGTGCTTTTCATAAAGCCAGTGAGATTACAGTGTATTTAAGTACTGTAAATAAAAAACAGAAAAACATTAATGTAGCAGACGAGAATTAGGCGTGTACGATAAATTACAGAAGCAGCGAAGCGCCTAAAATAGAAAAATAACTGTCGTTTTAATCAGACAAAAGCTATTCACTGTTGCTTTAAAATGTTTAAAATAGTAACTGCGTGTATTTGAACGTATTGTTATTGGTGGGAGCGTTATTATTGTTATTATCTGGGAAAGATTGGTTCTAAGCATAATTAAAAGGCTTGATCAATACGCGTTTCCATATCGACCGTTCATTGTCGGCCATCACAGCCGGAAGTTGTGGCAAGGCAATGATAGGGATGCATTGTGGAACTACTGCGATGACCTAGTTTCTGAAAATATCTGGGCAATGGGATTCTGTACCTGCAGGCTATACTTGTTTTCTATTTAGTAAAATCCTTTCTGAAAAAAAATCAGCAATACTGTAGCAGCAGCTGTCGAATTGATAGCAGCAGTAACATCAGTGACATCAGAATAAATATATCTTAAAAAAAAAAGAAAAAAAAGATTAAAAAGGTCAAGATGGCTGACACAACAATATCAACTGACCATTGGATCACTTACAGTAGCCCAATGGTTAGTAAATTTGTCTCAAAAAACATTTCTTAAGTGTTGTGTAAATTATTCTTTTGGGTAGTTTTTAACACATTACTTATCTCTCAGTTGCGTCTCTGCGTTTCGGCAAAGTGCGCTCAGGGGCTTCTCTGTCAAAGGACAGAGTTGCAACTGAGGAAAATTATACTGAGAGGTGCCCAGCTTTGGGGAGCAGCTGCCCGAGGCCGCGCTCTCTCATGGCACCCGAGAAAAGGATCGGTGCTCGCACCGAGGCCAGCGCAACCGACAATTTCGGGGGTTGCTCGTGCCGCCACCTTGAAAAAAGACCTTGTGTCACTTCCCGTCTCAATGGGGAGACAGAGTAAATAACGTCTGCTTGATTTTCATTGATCACTCAACAAGTATGATCTTGAGACAGACTAAACGAAGCATCGTAAATAATATTGAGATCTGATTGGTCTGAGTGCTGTATATTTCCAAGTGGTGTTCGTGATTGTTGTTTGAACCCTTAAGTAAACATCTTGAAAGCTGATTTTCAAGGCAAGCTGCCCCGCCCCTACGTAGAATCTTACTTCAATTTAATCTTGTGCCATACTAATCTAGGTTTAAAAACTATCAATAAATAAACGTCATTGTTGGCGTATTTAGAAGCGTCCTGGAGCCACTTGTAAAAAGCTTTGGAGACGAAGAAATCAAACGATGAAATGGGACCATCCAGATAACAATATTGTGGAAATCAGCCAGAATACTGAGAAGGGTGCTGGAGTATTTAGAAAAGTTGTTTATATTATGTTGCTTACTTGGATCACTAGATATTAGCGGTATGAAATAAGATAATAATATATATATATATATATATAAATAATAAATACGTATGGGGCACTCCGAGGCGGTGTAATGGCTAGCAAGCTTGTCTCGCTAAAATCATTACGAATGAGTAGTGAGTTCGATCCTCACTGTCGTCCTTGTGCCACATCTAAGCTACGCTTGGAAAATCGCTATAATATATGCGTGCGTTATACAGGCCTTGTTTAAAGGCCAACGAAAATTCTTTGAAAATGATTCTTTTTTTTTTTAATCTATTTGTTTATTTTTTCTACATTTCGCGCCATTATCCTGTTTTCGGTACAGTTTTCGAATGTTGTGCAAATTTCGATTTTCATAAACCATTATCAAAACCTTTTTGATTTTTTTATGCTACGTCAGTTTCCTCGTTTTTCAGATATCGCTTCTTCACGTGCCTTATCGTTTTTCACGTCATCATGTGACAATTCGTGTTGTAACTTTTTTATTTACGAAATACATTTAGGATGTTTGTTACTTAATTATATATTTTGATACTAAATTATATATTTTAATTGATGTTTTGTTTCTTTATGATTAATGCTTCTAATATTTGCAATCGTTTTTACTATCCTTGGTCTTTAACCAAAATTGTATAAATATATTTTTATACGTTCTTTTTATAGATACAAATATTTAAGTAAATGCTCTGTTTATAATAAACAGTATTAAACAAGACTTATCGGCCTGAATGTGCGAGAAATTTTCATAGAAAATATGCGTCTTCCTACAGGAATCGAACCTTCATTCTATACGGAACTGTCATATAACCTGGCGTGCTTTTACCGATTACGCCACAGAGGGGCGCTTCGGTTAGCAAGGTCGATTTTACTGTTTTTAAACTACAATTTTCCATGATTTTAACGTACATTCATATTTGCTCAATGTGTATCCAAATGTAAATGAATGACGTCACACATTATGAAATGGACAAAGTCTGACAATTATTTTAAGACATTTTTTATATTTATGCGTTCTGTTTATAGATACAAAATTTTAGTAAATGCTCTGTTTATAATAAACAGCATTAACAACGTTTACCAGCCTGAATATCCGAGAAATTGTCATAGAAATTGGTAAAAGCACGTCAGACTATATGGCTGTTCTGCATAGGATACAGGTTCGATTCCTGTCGGAGGACGCCTATTTTTCTCTGGATCGCATTTTCGGAATAAAATTTTGCTCGGGCCTCGCCAAATTTTATCTGATAAAAAAAGATGTTTAAAGATAAAAAAAAACAAACAGAGAGAGCGTTAAAGGGAGATAACCGCGGATTCAAAATCAGAACATTATCATTGATAACTCTCTCCTCCAATTTGCGGATCCTAGTTACGATATTTTTAATACTTAGTATAATGCAAAAATATCACAATGATAAAATCGGTCAGTAATTATTTATAACTATTTATACTGTGCCTCATGCATGCAATTACAAGTAATCCATAATAATATTTTGAGTTTTGAAATCATATTTATTTGAGGCATATGTATTTTTTAAACTGTTTCTAAATCATTGATTGTCTTTCAATCATTACGCCTCACCTGCTATCCTCTTCCAACTCACCTGCTATCCTCTTCCGCCTAGCCAGCTATCCTCTTCTGCATCACCTGTTATCCTCTTCCACATCACCTGCTATCCTCCTCCGCATCACCTGCTATCCTCTTCTGTCGCACCTGCTATTCTATTCCGCCTCATCTGTTATCCACTTCAGCATCACCTGCTATCCTCCTCCGCATCACCTGCTATCCTCTTCTGTCGCACCTGCTATCCTCTTCCGCATCACCTGTTATCCTCTTCCACATCATCTACTATCCTCTTCCGCCTCACATGCTCTCCTCTTCCGCATCACCTGCTCTCCTCTTCCGCATCACCTGCTATCCTCTTCCGCCTTCCCTGCTATCCTCCTCCGCATCACCTGCTATCCCTTCCGTATCACCTGCCATCCTCTTCCGCCTTCCCTGCTATCCTCCTCCGCATCACCTGCTATCCTCTTCCGTATCACCTGCTATCCTCTTCCGCCTTCCCTGCTATCCTCCTCCGCATCACCTGCTATCCTCTTCCGTATCACCTGCTATCCTCTTCCGCCTTCCCTGCTATCCTCCTCCGCATCACCTGCTATCCTCTTCCGTATCACCTGCTATCCTCTTCCGCCTTCCCTGCTATCCTCCTCCGCATCACCTGCTATCCTCTTCCGTATCACCTGCTATCCTCTTCCGCATCATCTGCTATCCTCTTTCGCCTCGTCTGCTATCCTCTTCTACATCACCTGCTATCCTCTTCCGCCTCCCCTGCTATCCGCCCCCCCCCCGCTATCCTCTTCCGCCTCACCTGCTATCCTCTTCCCCCTCTCACCTATGAGGCGCGCCGCACCGTTTGGGAACCACTAGTTTAGATGATCATAGATTCTTCTGAATTGAAAATAGTACTTTATCATTTGAGCGGCGGACACTATAACGACGATAGTGATAGTCTTGATATTAAGATTATCCCTAGCGAGCTGAATAATATACAACCATTGAAAAGATTATGAAATTCACAATTAATAGTTGTGGACTTTATGATCTCTACTGATAACGAGTAAAATAATAGTGTATTCTAACGTAACCATCAGTAATCCGGCAAATGATCAACTAATCGTTACTAACAAATGGTTCTATTTAGAGACAAAAGCCATAAGACATGGCGATTTTCGCTTTGTCTTTTTTGCTCCGTTCTGACTCATGATAAGAGTGAAGGATTTAATCCTGCAACCGAAGAATTTTTAAGTTTATAAAACCTCTTTAATTTCCACAATATGAATGCTTTCAGGGAGTGATTTTAATCATACAACTTTTTCTTCTTTATGTGCTGTGTCCCCCTACAGGAAGTAAGCAATCATAGCTCTCCACAATTTCCTGTTCTTTGTAGCTCTTAAATTTTGTCTTTTTGTTTTTTCTTCTAAACCCTGTTCCGGCATCCATTTAATCAAGCTCACTAAGTATGCTAAGCGTTGTTTACCTCTGTCCCTCTTGCCTTCAATCTGCCTTGTGGATATAATGTCACTAGGACGCATGCGCTTACTGGGAGTGAAAGAAAACGCGAAGACTTTATTGAGAGAAATTGAGGAGAAAAAAGAGCACAATTCAGGAAGACACAGCATGACGATTGGCGTTGCATTCCACGAGCGAGAAAATAAACTATCAGAATCGAACATACGCTTGCGACTATGGAGTTCAAGAGTAAAACGGCGAGATCGAGTTGTCAATTTTGTAACAAATTTAAATTCATGCAGTTGAGTCACAAAGGAGGAAAGCTCATCCGATTATTTGCTTTGAAAATATTTGTAGAAAAGATGGGGGGAAACCAAATCATGACGGTAAGAAGTCGAGATTCCAGGTCAGGATCGATCAGGATCGATTACATTAGAGAGCCTTCTTTGAATTTTATCAAGAATCTTTGGATATATATAATAGGAGCACCAGATCAGATAGGGCAGCAATATTCGATGCTTAGATAAATGGTAGATTTATAAATGTGCAAGATGGATTCTGGCGAGAAGAAATTGTCTGGCATGACACAGTGAACCAACTTTCCTAACAGGAGATCTAGGAATTAATTCAATATAATCACTCCACTCAGTTGTTTAGTATCTAAGTAATGGCACTCAGCTTTCTTCTATACTGTCAATAGTGAAACAATTATCTTTCATCTATTCAGACTAAAGATAATGGATTCTAGTAAATAATAATAATTTTTTTCTTTTTTTGATCAGTTCACCCCAAGCAAGGCAATATTGCCACTAGGTTAGAGGCAGTGAAAAAGGATGAGAAGACTTTAGTGAAGAAAAGGACAATAAATGAAGATAATCATTCCACTTCATGTTAGTGGAAAACATGTGCCCAAGAAAGAGTAAAAGAGTTACTCTCCTGGTGGTTAGTAGGCAGAAAAGATTTCTCCATGGTGATTAAATGAAAACAGTTTATAGAACAAATCTTAACATTCATGATACAATAAATGAGTGTAATTTAAAAGTTGCTACTCTTTTACTTTCAAGTTGCGTCAAGAACAATCTTTACACTCAGACGGTGCGAACATAGCTGAAGTCGAGATGCCAGGTCAAGATCGATTACATTAGAGAGCCTTCTTTGAATTTTGTCAAGAATCCTGGAATATATAGTAGGAGCACCAGACCAAATATGGCAGCAATATTCAATGCACGGACGATTGGTACACAGACTGGTACTTATTGATTGCTATAAAGGACAGGATATTAGATTCGGGCAAACTTTTTAGTGTGACATTCCAGTAAAAGTGTATAGACGTAAATAGGAGAAACAAAAACGTGCACAAGGTTGAATAGTTAGGTAGAAACGAGAGATGCTCTCGGCCTCGTTTTGAAAATGAGGCTCACTAAAAATCAAATAATAAAAACGAAAAAGCATAAAGAACCTGAAGATGAGTTTAATCTTCTGGCGTTTCAAAAAGGCATAAAACAATTTGGAAATATTTAAATGCATTAATTAGTTCTTGGGGGAAAAGAAAAACAAATACAAAATAAAAAAAACCAAAAAAAAAAACGAAGAATGAGAATAAAGGAGTAAAAACAAAGAAAAGGGAGAAGAAAAGATAATTAGAAAAAAAAAACAATAAATAAAGAAAAAAATAGCAAATTAAAAATTCAGGCGAAAAGAATTTATGCTTATGGCGAAGAAACCAGCGAAAATGGTACAAATGACACAATACAGGTTTCACTTACCTCATTTGAAAACGAATTGCAGAAGAAGCATATATATATATATATATATATATATATATATATATATATATATATATATATTTCACACCGCCTTCTATGTCAACTTATGTAAACTTAATACTGCCCGTCAAAAGTGTAAATTTTAAATTCATTTTCGTTTCACCTTTTGAAAGTGAAGTCTGAAGATCCAGAGAAAAATAAAATTCTCTGGTGAAATAAATTATTACAAATGGAGCCTTAAAACGGTCTGTTTTTCTTTAAATTAAATTATTCGCTCTGACTTAACATTGAGCTCTCCTCTCTGGGATTATCCATACAGAATACCAAGATTTTCGTTACTTATATATATATATATATATATCTACACAAGGGTAAATTAAAAATTATTCGCACTTTTGCCGAATGAATTTAAAAAAATGAAAATTATTAATTTCAAGCTAATGCATTAAATATAATATTTCCAATAATTAAAATATTTTGGTGTATTTCAAAAACTAATTTAAATTAATTGGAAGGGTGTTTTATTTTGTTTTCGTTGTTTTGATAAAATAGCTGATTAGCCCCCTTTTTATCGTCTTTCATCGCAATGTAATTCCTTTTATTAAAATTTTTTCCAAAAACAAAATATACTTTTCTGAAACTTTATTTGAGAAATATTCGATGATTTAAAGTATAATTAATCTGATTTGAAACAAATATTATTTACTTTAAGTTTAAAATATCACAGAAATGCATTTTTTTTAACCCAACAACAGTGATGCTTTTAACCAGGCAGTAGCTGTTTTGATGTATTGACAGCCTGATGACATTTAATTTGTTCTATGGAGATTTTATCTGTAAAACATTATTTAAGAAAATGATGTGAACGCTTTTTTTTATAAACTTTTTTATGTAATATAAATGATAAAAATTTAGGAAAATATTTTTCGCTATCGAATGTCTTATTATTTTTCGAAATTTTGAGTCTAAACTTATTATTTTCTTATTTTTAGATAATGTCGTGTATGGTCGTCTGTACTTACAAAAATCGGCAAATACAAAATAATCCAAAATTATTTTTAGAATATTGGTGTTTCATAATTTGTATTAAGTTTTTCCATTTATTATTATTAATTATAGTTTTCATTTATTAATAATGTTATCTAAAAGGCTTCAATTAATACAGAATTTTAAAAGATTCAAAATTCAATGAATTTTTAAAAATTAAATTGAAAACAATTCTTGTAAAAATTCATTATTTACCGAAAATAGTTTTCTTAAGAATATATATCTTTATATATATATATATATATATATATATTATATTTATATATTTTATATATATATATATATATATATATATATATATATATATATATATATATATATATATATATATAACCGTAATTTTAATGCTAACTTTTCTTGCTTGTGGAACACCCTCATGCTTCCAGCCAATTTTAATCTCCAAAAGTTTAAATGCAATGTCAATCGCTGTCTACTGTCCTCTTGATTAGATTTTTCACTTACCGCCCATTATTAATGTTCCTTTTCCTAATTATTACACACCCAGTAACCTTTATGTCTTAGTGGCTTTACTGCTTTGCATGGGGTGAAACCGATATATATATATATATATATATATAGAGAGAGAGAGAGAGAGAGTCATCCACATACAAGCCCGTTATGCTCATTAGTGCAGGTAGACATCCGATTGCGTCAAGCCGGGATCGAAACTCGGCCGATTTGGCATCAGTCCGAGAATCTGCCCCTAAGCTATCGGTGCACAGCAGAGAAAAGAAAATTTTAACGTATTATATACATGGTGTATACAAACACCAGTAGCCAAGAGGGCTCAATTTATTACTGAACGTTGCGTATATATATATATATATATATATATATATATATATATATATATATATATATATATATATATATATATATAGTTTTAAGCTATTCTATATTTATGGGTTAAAGTTCTGTATATCAATGCTAAAGCGTATGTAAATATAAAAGTGTGCATTGGAGTCAACACCCAGAAGCGACAGTCTGTTTCATGCTAAACCCCAGAAACAATCTGTCACCTCTGGGTGTTGATATTTATATCCACTTTTATAGAGAGTACACACACACACACACACACACACACACACACACACACACACACACACACACACATATATATATATATATATATATATATATATATATATACATACATATATATATATATATATATATATATATATATATATATATATATATATATATATATATATATATATATATATATATATATATATATATATATACACACACACACACACACACACACACATATATATATATATATATATATATATATATATATATATATATATATATATATATAGTCATAAAATGGTGTATCAATAAATCCATAGCCTGATTATATATTATATAATAAAACCACATTTATTCTATAATACTTAATTTTGCATATTTACATGCATAGGTAACTAATTTATCTGAATTTCTCTGTCTATATATTGCAAAAACTTGAAATTTACGAAAGTTTTAGGTACGCACACAAACAATATATATATATGTATATATGTGCGTGTGTGTGTGTGTTTGTGTGTGTGTGTGTTTGTGTGTGTGT